TAATAGTTACCTTCAGCGTATATTTTACCTGTTGACACGTTTTATTAACTCGTCGTCGTAGCTGATGTTAAACACCTTCTTTAATATGTAGCTCTTAGCTTCAGCTAATGTTTTAGATGCTAAACCCATAACCTTTAGCTTTTTAACATTTAGCTACTTCTTCTTCTTAAGGTCTGAACTGTCCCTTTAGGAGCGTGCGGTTCTGACCCGGGTTGAAGGCTGGGTTTCCTCGGAGACGCTGGTTCCGCTGCTGGAAGGACCGGAACACGGTGTAGAACAGCATCTGGTCTCCGGTCTGCCGGGCCGCGTCCAGGAACTTCCGGGCCGACACGTTGTCGTGGCCGCCTGCTCCGGGACAAACCGGGTCAAGACACCAGAACCAGAACCACAACCGAAGATTAAAAAGTGATCTTACCGACGCTGCGGACGAACCGGAGCGCGCCCAGAACCTGCTGCTTGGACAGCAGAACCTCCACGATCTCATCGTTGGCCGTGGACAGACGCTGCAGAGACACGGGACAAACCGGATCAGAACCAGAAACACAACCCTGAATAAAACCACTTCCTGTCTCACCTTCAGCATGTCCAGAGACAACTGGTGCGCCGGAGCGTACGTGCTCTCCAGGGACAGGAGGAGACACGCCTAGAAGACAAGGTCCAATTCAAGGTATCAGACAACATGCAGGACTCGTTTGGACCTAGACCCAGGTCAGGACCCGTTTGGACCCACCAGAGGTTTGGAGTCCGTCAGGACGTGGTACTGCAGGAACTGGTGTAGCATGTAGAACAGGTTGTGCTGGACCAGAGTCTTGATGACCAGCTCGTACAGGTAGTGCTGAAACACACGGGTCCAGATCAGGTTCTGATGGACTCAGACCAGGTTCTGTCAAGGTGGTTCTAGTTTACCTGGACAGGGATCTGGTACTGGTTCAGAGAGCGGATGTACTCCATCAGGACCGCTATGATGAACTTGTGGGACACGTCCTGCAGGAGACACAAACATGAGCTGGACCAGAACTTGAGTTCTGACCCGTTTAACCTCCTTCATATTTTTCATCTTTAATTAATGAGAACAAAAATAACCCCAGGTTCCTTTTCAGAACCAAAGCTAATGAAAAATCCTCTCTCTGTTGATTCAAGCATCCCTACTACAACTATAAACAGTGATGACTTCATGAGATTCTTTATAAATAAAATTGTTTCAGAGAGAAAAATGCAATCCAACATTCCTACTATCGCCTCTGGTTCTGTGTCAGATGAGACAACTTTAGAAATGTCACTAGAACCTGATTTAGGTTTGGACAGTTTTTGTCCTGTTGAGCTCTGAATCATCAATAATATCTTCATCCAAACCATCCACATGCCTGCTAGATCCCATCCCAACCAGACCGTTTAAAGAGATACATCCCTTAATTAATAATCACGTCTTGGATCTGATTAATTTGTCTTTAATGGATGATTATGTACCACAGAGCTTTAAGGTTGCTGTAATTAAACCTTTACTTAAGAAGTCTGATCTTGATTCAGAAATTCTGGCCAACTATAGACCTATATCTAATCTAACGTTCATCTAAAAAATTCTAGAGAAAATAGTTGCAGGTCAGTTGCGTGAACATCTACAAAGAAATAATCTGTTTGAAGAGTTTCAGTCAGGGTTTAGAGCTCATCATAGCACAGAAACAGCACTAGTAAAAGTCACTAATGATGTTCTCATGGCCTCAGACAATGGACTTGTGTCTCTACTGGTCCTGTTAGACCTCAGTGCTGCATTTGATACAGTTGATCACAATATTTTACTACAGAGACTTGAATATGATGTTGGGATTACAGGAGCAGCTCTAAAATGGTTTAAATCATATCTATCTGATAGATTCCAGTTTGTAAATGTAAATAATGAATCTTCTTCATAAACCAAAGTTAGTCATGGAGTTCCTCAGGGCTCAGTGTTTGGACAAATACTCTTTACTTTATATATGCTTCCATTAGGTAAAGTTATTAAACAACATGGGATAAATTTTCATTGTTATGCTGATGACACACAATTATATTTGTCCATTAAACCCAATGAATCCAATCAGCTACTTAGACTACAAGCATGTCTTAAAGACATAAAAACCTGGATGACCCTTAATTTCTCCTGTTGAACAGACAAGACTGAGGTTTTGGTTTTTGGACCTGAGCACCTTAGGAATGAATGTTTCAGTCTTTCTCCCTCCTTAGATGCATTAATCTGTCCTCCAGCTCTAA